GAACAAGATGCCCACGTCTGTCGTTCAGTGCATCTCAGAACACTAGTAAAAGGAAGTTTTTAGCAGTAAACGGTCCTATGATTTTAAAACTTTCACGATACACAGGAGGACACGCATATTTTATACCAAGCGCAACATACTGGCTCACATTGATCACGTTTATACACATTGTTGCAGCTGGTGACCTAACACTTTATCCTAGCGCAACTAAATTGGTTAAAAGAGAAGCTGATTGGTTGCCGTGCACAGCTGCTCCAGATTGTGTCTGCTCCAGTGTTGATACATTCCCCTCATTGTATATAAAATGATACCCTGAAGATGTATAACGGTGGATTGTGGGTGTAACACAGATGTTCTCAGCCAGTGGTAGGTGTACATTAGGGGGTATCCTTGACAGGTTCAGGGGTGCTCGTGCTTGTTTAAGTAAACTATAATGTTTTAGTATAGAGACATAACAAATTATAAGTTTTAGTTTTTTTAAGGGCATAGGGATGCACCGATACCAGGTACCATACTCGGTACAAGTACTGATACTTTTCCAGCTCCAAGACTACACTAGAGAAAAAGACAACAATTAGGAGGCCGCTGTCATGTGTAAGGAGCACACGGAGCTCCCGGGATTTGTACATCTCTGTTTTATTGTCTGATTTGTTTTTATAAATATATATAAGTGATGCACCGATACCAGTTTTCCAAGTACAAGTACTAATACTTCTCCAAGTACTCACAGATACGAGTACTGATACTCACCCAAGTCCTCACAGATACGAGTACTGATACTCACCCAAGTCCTCACAGATACAATTACTGATACTTCAAGTACTCACAGATACAAGTACTGATACTCGCCCAAGTCCTCACAGATACGAGTACTGATACTCACCCAAGTCCTCACAGATACGAGTACTGATACTCACCCAAGTCCTCACAGATACAAGTACTGATACATTTTGGTTTGTTGTCATGTGACAGTTTTTCTAAAACAATACAGACCAATGATTTCAGGAGAGTGGTGGAGCGCCAGAGCCAGGTCCCAGCTGCAACCCCTGCCACCCTGGGAGTTCTCATGAAAATACCAAGTATTGGCACTGGTATCTGGACTGGTATCGGTGCATCCCTAGTACTGCATACATTTGCGAGAATAAAGTTTGTGAACCCTTTGGAATTCCAAAGAATGGTCTGATCTTCAGCCTTCGAGTCAAAACATCAAATAAACACAATTGGCGTATCCTAATCCAATATAAACTGTACTGTCTTTTTTGGACACGTGGCGGTTGCTGTACTAAAGGGCAAATAGGCTGCTCACTTTGCAAGGAAATGATCCTTTATCTTAGTGAATGAGGTGATGCTCTCCTGACTTCCATCATCCAATCACGTGCAAGCAAATGTCAATCTTCACCAGATTCATCAAGCCAAGAAAAAAATCCCTTGCACAGTGAACACTTTATTTGCCTCAACTCCATTGTTTACACATGCACAGTCCAGGCTGGAAAAGAATGTGAACTCTGATATTTGATAGGTGGTAGGACCGCCTTCAGCAGCAATAACCTGCATTAGATGCTTCCTGTGGTTGCTAATAAAGACTTGGACAATGGTTGGGAGGGATTTTAGATCATTCTTCTAGAAAAACTGCTTCATTTAACTCATAACGTCAAGAATCCTCCCATGAGCAGCTCTCTCCAGGTTCTACCACAACATCTCGACTGGCCTGATGTCTGGACTTTGAGTTGGCCAATTCAGATTTGGTTCTGTTGTTACTGTGTATCGGGTTGTTTTCTTGTTACACCTCCGGACTTTTCTCATGTTTCAGTTGATGGGCCCACCAATGTCCTTCCCTTGTAAAACTTTCATATGCAGTGTTGAATTAAATGCTCCTTCTCTTGATAGCCAGAGGTCCAGGTCTTGAGTCTTTTCTGCATCACATTTCATGGTTGGGACGAGGTTTTAGTTTGAAGCGCTTAATTCCTTCCACACTGGTGTGTGCTTGGGGTTGCCCCCTGTAGGGGATTCACCCGGACATTCGGGTTTTTGAGTCCTGTGTCTGGGTATCAGGCCAGCTGACACCCGGACACAAGACACTAATTGCCGATACCGGCTGTCGAGGTCCCCAGCAGGCGCGGGACTTTAGGCAGCCGCATCTGCCTGAAGCCGCATCCTCCTGTGAGCCGGCCCACATATATCCTGTGTCTTCCTGACACCACCCTGCCTGCCTCCAGACCCCTGGTGAGACACCGCACAGCCTGCACAGCACTCCTGAAAGCCTGCATGGCCCACCTGACACTCCACACGGAGAGCCCACATCTACCGCCTGAGAGCCGGCAAAGTCCATCTTGAGAGCCCACGGTGTCCACATGAGAGCCTGCAGAGCCCTGGTGAGAGCCCGCACAAGCCACCTGAGACATCAGGATGCCACCCCTGGAACAACAGAGTATGTCGCTTCATATGATTTTGTATTGCTGTATAATGTATTGCTGGGATTTGTAGTCCTCTATATAGCCGGTCTCCTTACTCCCTCCCCTGGCTGCTTCTCCTCGCTCTTTCCTCTATTTTTTTTTTCAAATGCAGCGCGCATCGCTAGAGTGTTCGAGTTTCACTTGAGGAAAGGTGGCGGCCCTATGTGTGTGTGTGCCTCTGATTGAATGTCCAAGATTTATCTCATTCATTCAGAAAACATTGTCCCAGAAGCAATGCGAAACCTCCGGGGGGTCCTGCAAATCTGAGGTTGACAAGCGATGGTTTCTTTATGGTGAGCACATCATTGGAGCAGCTGTGCATGGCAACCAATCAGCTTCTCTCTTTCATAGCTTCACTTAACGAGCGGGAGGTAGAAGCTGACTGGTTACCGTTCACAGCTGCTCCAGTTTCAATAACAATGACATTAAGGCATTTTTATTTGAAAGTGAAAGAGAGAAGTTGATTGGTTGCCATGGACATCTGCTCCATGGCAACCAATCAGCTTCTCTCTTTCATTTCCAAATCGTAACTGAACAAACTAAAGAGAGCAGCTGACTGGTTGCCATGGGCAACTGCTCCCGTTTTGATAAATTGCTTTTATTTTTAATCTCATTATTATTCTGATCTAGATGAAGCTCGGACCATTCATACAGAAATCCAGATCATGTAATGGTGATAGATCCGCACATACCTCGGTCAGGTGACCCCCCCAGCACGAGGTAGTTGCCATCAGCCGGGGTATATTTGAATAGGAAGTGAAGACTGGTCCCCGGTGAAGCTCGGGCCTTGATTTAGGAAGGAAGAGATTTTTGGGCAATGTCATGAAATCCAAGATAACGGCAACCAATCAGAAGCCGCGCTTCATTGCTCTAGGCGTCCTAAACTAGTGAAAGCTAACTAAGGAAATCTCTTCGAAGTGAGGGAAATCCCTGTTGCTCACCAAGAACTAGTGACCTTCACTTGCTGTCTGATTGCCACAACAGGAAGTGAAAGGAAATCCCTCCAGAGAAAAATCCATGGTGGTCAGCAGAACTAGTGACCTTTACTTCCTGTCTGATAGCCACTACAGGAAGTAAGAGGAAATCCCTCTAAAGAGAGGGAAATCCCTGGTATTCAGCAGAACTAGTGACCTTCACTTTCTGTCTTATAGCCACAACAGGAAGTCAGAGGAAATCCCTCTAAAGTGACGGAAATCCCTGGTGTTCAGCAGAACTAGTGACCTTCACTTCCTGTCTGATAGCCACTACAGGAAGTCAGAGGAAATACCTCTAAAGAGAGTGAAATCCCTGGTGGTCAGCAAAACTAGTGACCTTCACTTTCTCTCCAACTGCCACAACAGAAAGTGAGAGGAAATCCCTCCAAAGTGAGGGAAATCCCTGGTGGTCAACCAAGCACTAAAGTTCTTCACTTCCTGTCTGATAGCCACAACAAGAAGTAAATGAAAATCCCTCCAAAGTGAGGGAAATCCCTGGTGGTCAGCAGAACTATTGACCTTCACTTCCGGTCTGATAGTCACTACAGGAAGTCAGAGGAAATCCCTGGTAATCACCAGAACTAGTGACCTTCACTTCCCCTCCGACAGCCACAACAGGAAGTGAGAGGAAATTCTTCTAACCAGAGGGAAATCCCTGGTGGTCACCAGAACTAGTGTCCTCACTGGAAGATTTCCCATCTATTGCTGTCCGATAGCCACAACAGGTAGTGAGAAGAAATCCCTCCAAAGTGAGGGAAATCCCTGGTGGTCAGCAGGGTCACCAGAACTAGTATCCCCATTGAAAGATTTCCCTTCCAATAGTCGCAACAGGAAGTGAGAGAAAATCCCTTCAAAGAGAGGAAAATCCTTGGTGGTCATCAGAACTAGTGTCCCCATTGAAAGATTTTCCATCGATTCCTGTTCTAGTGACAACCCAAGGAACATAAAGTCAAACCTTCTTTTCTTTGGATCCAGCAGGGAAAGGCTGAAGGAAATGTCCTGCTGACATTTCAACAGACAGGAAGTGAGGAAAACTCTCCAACACCAACACAGTCACAGACACAAATAAAAAAAATGCTTTCTTTTAGAAGAGTATCGGAAGACTAGAACCCCAATCAAAATTTGTTATTGCTGGCCGCTGTTGCAGATTTTCCCTCACTTCCTGTCTGGTGACACTGTTGTCATCAGAACAGGAAGTGAAGGTAAATACCTTGAACAGAGCCCTAAATAGAAGAAGAAAACCAACAGACATGTTAAAAATCGCCAGAGGCAACAAGTGAAAACACCATTACGTGACAGACCACTCCTCTAAGGTTAATAAACACATGTCTCTCATCCTTTACAAAACGAACTTTATTGGTAAAGTTTTGGAAACATAACAAGCACAAGGTGCATTTGGCCCCTAGCAACAATACAACTGCACAGAGGCCTGCAAACGCCCACAACAAAGATGGACGCCGCACGCTCGCTACGCGTGCAGGACAGAAGAAGCGTCACGCGACTTACGTCAGCGGCTACGTAGGCGCGCTACCGAGCTCTAAGACACCCTGCCCGGAAGTGACGACGTTTTCCTGAGCCCTCTGAATGACAACATGCCTGATCATGAGATCCTGATCGTAAGTGATGGGGGGTGATGAGATGAGGGGAGCATGTGGTCACCTCAGGGGAGGATGGGAGTTGTCGTCATGCTGTATTTTTTGCGGGGTTCACTCTGTTTATCTCCTGCCTGTGGCCATGTTCCCGGTTTCAAGTCAGTATACTTACCTCCTGAGTGTAGTCAAGGGGTGCTGGGTGAATGGTCCATTCAAAGAAGCAGCATGGCGATAAATATTGTATTCTGGTACTGGGGGCGGTCAAGGGAATTCCAGGAAAACAATAAAATTCAGTTGTATGTTAAAAAAGTCACCCTTCTTATAATACAGTGTTGTATGTCTGCTCTCAGGCTGACAACGTTACATTGCTACTGAATGATATTGCTACGAGCGTTGTCACCCCTTGTTGCTCTTTTTCTGTCCTGGTGATGTAGCGTTGTCACCCCTTGTTTTCTGCTCCTATGGTGATCTAGCGTTGGTTCTCATATTGTAACTCCTGCACATGCACACAGGGGATGCAGCCGGAGACAATGTAACTCCTGCACATGCACACAGGGGATGCAGCCGGAGACAGTGTAACTCCTGCACATGCACACAGGGGATGCAGCCGGAGACGATGTAACTCCTGCACATGCACACAGGGGATGCAGCCGGAGACGATGTAACTCCTGCACATGCACACAGGGGATGCAGCCGGAGACGATGTAACTCCTGCACATGCACACAGGGGATGCAGCAGAAATACCGTTTCCCCGAAAATAAGACCTAGCATTGTTTTTTCAAGCTTCCTGTTATATAAGACCTCCCCCAAAAATAAGACGTAGTTTGGTGGTAGCATGTGAGGGGGAACTTGAAGAGCAGGAGAGATGGTGTCGGCCTGCAGGGACATACTGTATTAAGGGGATGACGGGGGACTCCCTCCGTCCAGCGCAGTGACAGGTAGCACTCCAGTACCATACTTCACCAACTGCTGTCCCCCTGAAGGCACTGCTTAATGTAATGGTACCGTACTGTAATGTGTACCGTACTTTACCGCGCTGTCCATTGTCTGAGGTCCCCACTGCAGTACCGCTGAACCCGATGGCAAAGGAAGCCGGTGCGGTAGAAAGCAAATCTGCGGCGGCGGAGCACATTAGCCGATACTTCCTCTATAGCGCCAGTTACTGTGACAGGCGGAGCGATACCAGATAACTTTGGATTGTTGTACATTTTGTTGCACATTAAAAATGTTTTTTTTTGGGGGGGGGGCAATAAAATATAAGACAGTGTCTTATTTTCGGGGAAACACGGGTAGGTGCCCAACAGGCGGTTGATAAACGACATGGGACCTGGAAGACGCGGCGGAGAAGACGGCGCCACCTGCAGGCAATGTGGAGGACGGCTTTGTCTGGCATTCCTGGAGAAGGAAACAAGTAGCCGAGTACAGTTCTGCTTCCAGTCTGAATCTTTGGCATAGAGGTCAGAGGTCACTTGAAATCTGACAGTTGTTGTCCTTGTTGCCTGCCAGACACACACACTTCTAGATGTGTATAATGTAGTTGACAGGTCAGACTCAATTCCACCCGGGCAAAGCAAATTAAGCTAAATAAGAAGGCATATTAAAAGAACCTCTCATTTGCAAGCCTGCACAGTTGTGTGTGTGTGTGTGTATATACTATATACTCAATATATATATATTATGTATTTTTTTTTTTTTTTTATATGCTCTGTATATTTAAATGCTGTTGAACCCCCCTGACTGTTATCTTTCTTTTATAACGCATTGTTACTCTCTGAGTGTGTGTGAACTGACCTCTGACATGTATTCTATACACAGGAGGAGGATGACCTCCAGTATGAAGAGGAGATCCTGCGTAACCCATATTCAGTCAAGTGCTGGATGCGATATATTGAATACAAGCAATCTGCCTCGGCACACGTACTGAACCTGATATACGAGAGAGCGCTGAAGGAGCTGCCAGGAAGGTGAACATAGAGATACAATCATTGTTATGTCCATCACTGACTTGTAGCCGTGTCCTATGTTTCTGAGATGCTTAAAGGGTTTATCTTAAAGAGGAACTTCATCCATGGTAGTTAAAGGAGAACTATGGGGTCAGTGTTTTTCCCCATCGTTCTCCTCAGGGTAACGGGAGCACACAAACTAGCATCCTCCCGTGACCCAAAGCTACAGCTCGAGGCGCCGCAGGCGGGATGGATCCAGACATTACTGTCGAGATCCACCCAGCTGCTTGAGTGACAGCTGGCTCTGCCTATCTAGAGGGGCCCAATCTACTTGTCCCGATACAAAAAAATAGTTTGAATCAAAACCGTATTTAACCGTGCGAAATAGCGCTTCTCATTGGTTAGTGTGGCCACCTGACCACGCTGACCAACGAGTGCTCGCAAATTGCAAGATTGCTGCTCATTTTATATAAGAGATCTTAGATCACTGTACTTAAATGAGGGGCGGCTCCCCCGATCTACATTTAGCGCTGCTAGCCTGCAGCAGGGCTAAATGTAGGGAAAAAAACCTGCGTGCCCAGGACATGCGGTTCGGGCGATACGAATTCCACATCCCTGCTTGTAAGGACTACATATCCCAGTGCTTATTGGGGTCATCAATCAATTATGATGTCACACAAGGGGCATTTCCTCTAATGCAGGGGTGGCCAATCACCGGCCCTCCAGCTGTGGTTAAACTACAAATCCCATGATGCATCTCTCTCTCCGGGAGTCATGCCTGTGGCTGTGAGAATCTTGCAATGCCTCATGGGATTTGTAGTTCCACCACAGCTGGAGGGCCGGAGTTTGGCTACCCCTGCTCTAATGTCTCAGGGATACACTTTAATGCTGAAAGCAGTGTACACTATTCATGACACATAAGCGGTGATCGCCACTGTTGTTGTCTTCTTTTAGATTTGTCTTTTTTCCCCCTTTTTTTGTTTGTTTGTACCGATGCAAAGTGGTCTCATTTCTTTTACACGCTGTTTTCTTTTAGTTACAAATTATGGTACGCATACCTAAAACAGCGCAGGAAGCAGGTGAAGAGGCGGTGCCTTACCGATCCGGCCTTCGAGGAAGTAAATAATTGCCATGAGCGAGCCCTGGTCTTCATGCACAAGGTAAAAGCTTCTGTGTTGATCAGGACCGGACTATCCCCTGGTTGCCAATGTGCTTAAAATAGTGTCAGTAAACACACGTGGGACCTGACTGCCTCACATGGTACCAATGGCCGGACTATACCCATTCCCAGGAATACCAGCCCATCCTCTCCAATGACCGACTGACTCTTTTTATGCTTTAAAGAAGAACTGTGGGGACATTTCTTATTAACCCTTGCAGTGGGGCTACCCCAGCACTGCAAGGGTTAGGTGCTCGTTTTGGTCTAGGGAGGAAAATAACAAAGCTATACACACCTGAACCTCCGAGCCAGCCGGCTGCGACAGCGCTCCCTCCAGGCTGTCTCCTCCACTGCAGCTTGTCTCTTGGCGTCCTCGCGTCCTGTACACCAGGGCTCAAAATTTCCACTCGCCTGCTTGAATTTGGCGAGTGGAAATTCCTGTCAGGCTTGCGGTCTCAGACCACGTACCTTTTTACCACCAGCAAGCATGGCGGTAAAAAGAAAGTGCACAGCAGTAATGAAGGTGACAAGAACGCGCAGAGTGGTCTCTCATTTCCGGAGGGTTCTGCAGCGCAGGAAAAAACAAAGTGACATCACACAGATTTGTCACCAAATTTGACCCTGCAGCTAAGAGACAAAGAAGAGAGGAAACCCCTGAAGGAGATCTCCCCGATGTCCTTATGGAGGGGGAGAGCAGAAATCACCGCCACTCAGTAAATATCTTTGATGTCCATTTAATCGGACCAATCGTCAATTGTCATGTACAAAATAGCGACGTTTCGGGACCGCACAGGATCCCTTCATCAGGGCGACAATGTAACAAGTTTCGTCACCGCACAGGATCCCTTCATCAGGGCGACAGTCCCTGATGAAGGGATCCTGTGCGGTCCCGAAACGTTGCTATTTTGTACATGACAATTGACGATTGGTCCGATTTTAAATGGACATCAAAGATATTACTGAGTGCCGGTGATTTCTGCTTTCCACTGTGTGTTGCACGGTGCCATCCGTGATTGTCACTGCGAGCACCACTACAAGTACTCGGAGTGCACAGGGACTTACTACTTTCTACCTTTTGGAGGGGGACTCTCGCTCCAAACAATAACCTACTCCCCACCCACCTTCCTGTCCTCCACGCCAGAAGTCACCCCAAGAAAGGTCTCTTCATACTGGACTATACTTTGTTTCATATTTTCGTGGTTACATTTTTTTTTACATATGGTTCAGAACGGACTAACCTGATTTACATTTAACCCTATGGGAAAATGCGATTCTGTTCGCGATCAAAATCGGTTCGCGCCTATGTTCGTAGGGGTCAGAACGGAATAACCTTATTTTACATTGAACCTTATGGGGAAATTTGATTCGGTTCGCGACCAGAAACGTGGAACCAATTAAGTTCGTGAACCACTGTACAATAGCTGCAGCAGGAGATTCCTCCATGCATGCTGTTAGGGCTGTTAGGCCAGGCTTAGGAAAGCTGTGCAGGAACAGGGCTCCTGCTCATAGTTCTGGGGGTGACATATGGAGTGGAGTAATACGATGGCATCACATAATTAAATTGAGGTAAATAAAATGAAATAAGCGCAAGTATTGGGCTGCCATGGATCACACCTCCAGCTCCCTTTTACTTAATTTTATCTCTGTTTCCAGTCCATTCAAAACTCTTTCCTCTCCTTACTGCTCACTCGATATTCGGCATTGCCTGTCATCATTCATATGTTCTCTCTTCCACTAAGATGCCCCGAATTTGGCTGGATTACTGCCACTTCCTTATGGATCAGTTTAAAATTACCCGCACAAGAAGGACGTTTGACCGCGCTCTACGCGCGCTCCCCATTACGCAGCACCATCGCATCTGGCCGCTGTACCTGAAATTTGTCCGCGCTCACCCCCTTCCAGAGACGGCAGTCAGAGTCTACAGGAGATACCTGAAGGTACGCTATTGTTGGACTGTAGCAGCCGACGTTGAGGACCATGTGATGTCATTATAATACCTCCATGTTTTTTTCCAGCTGACGCCTGAAAATGCTGAGGAGTATATCGAGTATCTGCGCTCGGTGGAGAGGTTGGACGAGTCTGTATGTAGGCTGGCAGCCATTGTGAACCAAGAAGACTTTGTGTCCAAGGAGGGAAAATCAAACTACCAGGTCAGTCTTATGGTTGAAAAGCACGAAGACTGCAACATTTCTCATTTGTTTCCCAACTATTATGACGTCACTCGTGGCGTGGTCACTGCTTGTTTCGTGCATTTAGATTTTGAACAATCTGCATGTAAATCATACAGGTTGCGGTCACATGATGTGGAGTATGGTGTATGTGGCCAGCCTTAGACCTGTAGGTGGCCAGCCTTAGACCTGTAGGTGGCCAGCCTTAGACCTGTAGGTGGCCAGCCTTAGACCTGTAGGTGGCCAGCCTTAGACCTGGTAAAGTCCCTCCAAGGCCAAAGTATTTTTTTTCGCTGCCAACACCGCCTCCTTTTTTCTTTTTTCCAACTTGTCATCTCAATGGGTAAAAAATTCCGCACAATTGTCCTCTTGACTTCATCACAGGGATCTCTAAAATCTTAACATCACCAGAGCCAGCAGGCGTCCTTTTAGAGGCTGCCCTGCGCCACTTTCTCCAGATGCAAGGCGCCTCATTGGATTACATGGCTAGTGCCCATTGGCAGTGAGAGGGGGAGCAGTGAAAGGACCTCGAGCATAAGCACAAAGAGGAGGATGGGTCAAAGGTGACAACGCTGTAGGAAATATTTTGCAGAGAAAATAGTACTGTCACCATGTGGAGGAAGGGCTTGGATTGGCAGAATCCCCAGGTATTTGTTATATAAATGAAAGTGCATTGAGAAAATTAAATTTGCCAATCTAATTTATTAGTATTTACTACGTTTTCATTTTTGTCTATTTTCTTGCTTTTAAAGTGAACCCTTTGCCCACCTCATGCGCACTAAAGTATTTACATGTATCAAACAAGCAGTAACAACAAATTTCACATCAAAAGCAGCCGGAGAGGTCAGGATGGCCTGCTTTAACCTCAACTGGCGGTATTCCCGAGTGTAGCTCGGGGGTTACTTTTCCATACCATAAGCGGTAACCCTGAGCTATACTCGGGAATGCCGCAAAGCATTTACTTACCTTGTCCCTCGAGCCGCGCTGTGTTCTCCGGCTTCCGGGTTCCGTCCCTTGCGTGCGTATGCATCGCAGGGGGGCGGAACTGGCGGGATATTTAAAAAAAAAAACCAGACAAAAACGAAAAAAAACAAATAGAACGAAAAATGACACGGAAAAAAGAAAAAATCATACCGCCAGGGAGGTTAAAGCTCTTTTGCTGCTTGTTAAAAGAAATCTATTGGGAGAGTAAAATGTACCCTTCCCAATAGTTTGAGCTGGCGTGTGACACATGGGCTCTATAAATCGAGAACTGAGCGATCACAAACTGCTAATCGCTCAGCTTACAGCGTCCCCCTGCAGAGAGGAGTGATTGTCAGTCACCGCTCCCCGCAGGGATTCCACCCTCCCTTCTCTGTTCCTCCATTGCTCATTGGAGGGGGCGGACACAGCTGGCTTCGGCTCCAGAGAGGCAGAGCCAGCCGTCAATCAGGCAGCGGGGTGGATACAGACAATTTTGTCAGGATCTTCCCTGGCTGCATATTAGTAAATGGACTCCTGTGACCCAAAAGAGAACTATAGCCAAAAAAAGAATAAGAATATTTGATTAGTTTATTGTTTTGTAGTCTGCGCTCAGGTCGGGAAGTTTCAAATGTAACCTCTCATCCATTTCTAATCTTAGAGCAGACACTACTACTCTGATCCTTCATTCACCAGTACTCTTGGGTGCAGTAGTTCTGTAATGTAGAGTTACTGAATTCTAGCTGACGAGCTCCATTCTTATGGCCGTTCACTCAGCTCGCTGCTTGTTTTGTTAATAGATATTGTCTAGGACAGTAGTCATTTGATGTACATGGCTAGTGTTCGTGGGCTGTTCTGGTCCAATAGACGGCAGAGGTTATACGAGATACAAATGTGACTCGGGTCTTTTCTGTTACAGCTGTGGCAGGAGTTGTGTACCCTCCTCTCCCAGAACCCCGGATCTATACGCTCTCTGGACTCTGCTGCCATTATTCGTGGTGGCCTCACCCGCTTCACCGACCAGAGGGGCAAGCTGTGGTGTGCCCTGGCTGAGTATCACACCCGGAGTGGTCACTTTGAAAAGGTAACCAGTGCTCCAAGTTCTATTCACCATGATCCAGCTCTCAGGTGCCCAACTTGCAGCCTGGGGGGCCACATGAGCGCATAGATGTGGGAGTGTTAACTTGTAATGTGAATCTATTATGTTCAAAGAAGGCTTTTCTGTGCTAAGCACTGATTGGGTAGGAGGCTTTTTGGTTGCTTTAGTCCCTTCTCACCATAATGTGTGTGTTTTTATTCTCAGGGCCTTCCCTTTAATGAGGCATCTCCTGGGGTCACATCTGGGGGTGGCAGGCAGAGTGGCATGTTTGTTGTATAGCGGCTGCTCTTCACAATGCTGTCCCCCCTTTCTGTCCCAGGTTACGAAGAGCCGGGCGGGGAGATTTGCAAGGCAGCGGTGTACAAACAAATATGGAATTCAGGAACCGGTCTGTGCAATCCAGAAGCCAGCAGAATTTTTTTTTATTTTTAGGAGCCATCTCCATTGACAAAAACTAGAAGAAACCTTAAAAGTTTGGCGCCAGTTGTAAATTTTAAGTATCATTGGCTAACTGGCTGCTGAAAATGGTCCAGCCATGATGTGAGGGCCATTCACATCTCCCCGCCCAGCTTTAGCAGCCTGGGATACTCTAGTCAGCATCCAGCCCAGCTTCCGGCAACCAGTGACATCACTGGTTACCAGCAGCTTGGTGGGATGCTGGCCAAAGCATCCCAGGTCTGCAGAGGGTGGCATTACTGTCATGCACCGCCAACCCCGCCCCTACGGCCTCAGGTGGCAAAGTCTAGGGACACCACTGCTTGTACTGTCCTATTAGCAGATATAAAAAGGGAAAAGCATCAAGTATTTGGCTGCTTTACATTGCTGCCTGCGATTGCCAAGACACTGAGGAACCTGATGACTCCGCCCCTCCATTTAATGTTATTTAACCCCGTATTGTACATCAGGTTGTTGAGATTCTGTTTGGTGTTTCTCAGGCACGAGATGTTTATGAAGAGGCCATTCAGACGGTCACCACTGTCCGTGACTTCACTCAGGTGTTCGACAGCTATGCTCAGTTCGAAGAAAGCGTCATTGCAGCCAAAATGGAAACCGTCAGTGAGATGGGAAAAGAAGAGGACGGTAAGAGTCGGCCCTAACCCTTCATGGCTTGTGGTGTCCTTGTTATAGGAGAGTTGCAACCTTTCTGAATTATTATTATTATTATTATTATTATACAGGATTTATATGGCACAATGTAGAGGTTTAAATTTAATATAACGTTTGTGCAACGCTTTACAAAATGATGGAAGACACTACAGTTACAATACCATTCAAGACAAGATGGTTAGAATGGCCCTGCTCCACGAGAGCTTGCAATCTAAAGGGAGGGACTAATACCTGTGAGGGGGATAAGTTGATGGAGAAGGTAAAAGTTCAGTCATTGGGTTGAGGTGGGATATGCCTCCCTAAAGCGATGTGTTTTTAGGGATCGTCTAAAGGTGGGCAGAATAGGAGATAACCGAACAGATTGGGGTAGGTGGTTCCAGAGAATGGGAGAGGCTCTGCAAATGTCCTGGACGCAAGCATGGGAAGCGATGAGGGAGATAGAGAGCATGAGGTCTTGGGAGGGGCGGAGAGGACGGTTTGGGTGATATTTTGAGATGGGGTTGGTGATGTAACTCCGGGCAGAGTTGTGGATAGCTTTTCTGTGTTAGTATTTTGAATTTTTTATTTGTTGGGGCGAGTGGGAGCCAGTGGAGGGATTGGCATAGAGGGGCGGGGGATGGAAGCCGGTGGAGGGATTGGCAGAGAGGGGCAGGGAATGGAAGTCGGTAGAGGGATTTGCATAGAGGGGCAGGGAATGGAAGCCAGTGGAGGGATTGGCAGAGATGTAGGGGATAGAAGCCAGTGGAGGGATTGGCAGAGAGGGGCAGGGAATGGAAGCCAGTGGAGGGATTGGCAGAGAGGGGCAGGGAATGGAAGCCAGTGGCCGGAGTGTCAGAGAGGGGCAGGGAATGGAAGTCGGTGGAGTGATTGGCAGAGGGGCAGGAAATGGAAGCCAGTGGAGGGATTGGCAGAGGGGCAGGGAATGGAAGCCAGTGGAGGGATTGGCAGAGGGGCAGGGAATGGAAGCCAGTGGAGGGATTGGCAGAGGGGCAGGGAATGGAAGCCAGTGGAGGGATTGGCAGAGGGGCAGGGAATGGAAGCCAGTGGAGGGATTGGCAGAGGGGCAGGGAATGGAAGCCAGTGGAGGGATTGGCAGAGGGGCAGGGAATGGAAGCCAGTGGAGGGATTGGCAGAGGGGCAGGGAATGGAAGCCAGTGGAGGGATTGGCAGAGGGGCAGGGAATGGAAGCCAGTGGAGGGATTGGCAGAGGGGCAGGGAATGGAAGCCAGTGGAGGGATTGGCAGAGGGGCAGGGAATGGAAGCCAGTGGAGGGATTGGCAGAGGGGCAGGGAATGGAAGCCAGTGGAGGGATTGGCAGAGGGGCAGGGAATGGAAGCCAGTGGAGGGATTGGCAGAGGGGCAGGGAATGGAAGCCAGTGGAGGGATTGGCAGAGGGGCAGGGAATGGAAGCCAGTGGAGGGATTGGCAGAGGGGCAGGGAATGGAAGCCAGTGGAGGGATTGGCAGAGGGGCAGGGAATGGAAGCCAGTGGAGGGATTGGCAGAGGGGCAGGGAATGGAAGCCAGTGGAGGGATTGGCAGAGGGGCAGGGAATGGAAGCCAGTGGAGGGATTGGCAGAGGGGCAGGGAATGGAAGCCAGTGGAGGGATTGGCAGAGGGGCAGGGAATGGAAGCCAGTGGAGGGATTGGCAGAGGGGCAGGGAATGGAAGCCAGTGGAGGGATTGGCAGAGGGGCAGGGAATGGAAGCCAGTGGAGGGATTGGCAGAGGGGCAGGGAATGGAAGCCAGTGGAGGGATTGGCAGAGGGGCAGGGAATGGAAGCCAGTGGAGGGATTGGCAGAGGGGCAGGGAATGGAAGCCAGTGGAGGGATTGGCAGAGGGGCAGGGAATGGAAGCCAGTGGAGGGATTGGCAGAGGGGCAGGGAATGGAAGCCAGTGGAGGGATTGGCAGAGGGGCAGGGAATGGAAGCCAGTGGAGGGATTGGCAGAGGGGCAGGGAATGGAAGCCAGTGGAGGGATTGGCAGAGGGGCAGGGAATGGAAGCCAGTGGAGGGATTGGCAGAGGGGCAGGGAATGGAAGCCAGTGGAGGGATTGGCAGAGGGGCAGGGAATGGAAGCCAGTGGAGGGATTGGCAGAGGGGCAGGGAATGGAAGCCAGTGGAGGGATTGGCAGAGGGGCAGGGAATGGAAGCCAGTGGAGGGATTGGCAGAGGGGCAGGGAATGGAAGCCAGTGGAGGGATTGGCAGAGGGGCAGGGAATGGAAGCCAGTGGAGGGATTGGCAGAGGGGCAGGGAATGGAAGCCAGTGGAGGGATTGGCAGAGGGGCAGGGAATGGAAGCCAGTGGAGGGATTGGCAGAGGGGCAGGGAATGGAAGCCAGTGGAGGGATTGGCAGAGGGGCAGGGAATGGAAGCCAGTGGAGGGATTGGCAGAGGGGCAGGGAATGGAAGCCAGTGGAGGGATTGGCAGAGAGGGGCAGGGGATGGAAGCCAGTGGCCGGAGTGTCAGAGGGGCAGGGAATGGAAGTCGGTGGTGGAAACTGAGTGGTCGGTGAGGTGAATGAGTCTGGCAGCAGCTTTCATGATGCACTGAAGGGGGAGGGGCCTGTATAGAGGTCAGCCAATGAGAAGGTAGTTGCAATGGTCGAGGCACTAGATAACACATGAGTGAATTTGTAGCTTGGTGGTGTCATTGATTAAGAAGGAGTGAATTTTGGACATGTTACGGAGGTGAAGGCAGCAAGATTTGGACAGTGATTGGATTTGAGGCCCAAAGGAGAGGTCAGAATCCAGAACCCTGGACTTGGCATTGTGTAAATAAACTAAACCTCTTCCTCTCAATACCCAGCAGCCCAAACTATATCTCCCATTAGTCCTCTGCATTCACATTTCTCATAATTTGCATAGAATGGGGTGTGTCGATGTGCGGTGAAGGGGGGCAGGGTTAGGGATTATATACTGTTGAGTGGCGCTGCGTCACGCTGTACTTCTAGCTGGACAGACACAAATGGTGACAACACTGATTTGGGGAAGGGTGCTGGATCTCCGCCTCCTGCTGGAAGGAAGTGATGACATTCACCTTCAGATACCGGTAACAAAGGTCGATATTGCTAAATAAAATGGACAGACTGTACATAGAATTGAAGGCAGCTATTGGGATTTATCAGTGATGATGTCTTGGTATGGAGCCCTCAGTCCTACGTTACATTTCTCTTTATTCTGGTTATGAGTCCCCTAACACTCTCCTTTCATCTTGTCAGATGACATAGACCTGGAGCTGCGATTGGCCCGCTTCGAGCAGCTGATGGAGAGGAGACCGGTCTTACTAAATGGGGTGCTGCTGAGACAGAACCCACACAATATCCACGAGTGGCACAAGAGGGTGCAGCTGTACCAAGGCAAACCACGGGAGGTGCGTTCTCTGTATCTTGTGCGGAAGTCATATCGTGAATAGTCGGCTCGCATTTCTTTTATACTAATCATTTTATTGTGATAAAAACATTCAATTGCAGTCTGTTTTCTTGTCTGTTCTTCTGTTTCTGAAAAGTGAAAGTAGCTCTGGCTGTGCGTCTCTGGCTGAGCGTCCCTAGCTGCGCCTCTCTAGCTGTGCGTCTCTGGCTGAGCGTCCCTAACTGCGCCTCTCTAGCTGTGCGTCTCTGGCTGAGCGTCCCTAACTGCGCCTCTCTAGCTGTGCGTCTCTGGCTGAGCGTCCCTAACTGCGCCTCTCTAGCTGTGCGTCTCTGGCTGAGCGTCCCTAACTGCGCCTCTCTAGCTGTGCGTCTCTGGCTGAGCGTCCCTAACTGCGCCTCTCTAGCTGTGCGTCTCTGGCTGAGCGTCCCTAACTGCGCCTCTCTAGCTGTGCGTCTCTGGCTGAGCGTCCCTAACTGCGCCTCTCTAGCTGTGCGTCTCTGGCTGAGCGTCCCTAACTGCGCCTCTCTAGCTGTGCGTCTCTGGCTGAGCGTCCCTAACTGCGCCTCTCTAGCTGTGCGTCTCTGGCTGAGCGTCCCTAACTGCGCCTCTCTAGCTGTGCGTCTCTGGCTGAGCGTCCCTAACTGCGCCTCTCTAGCTGTGCGTCTCTGGCTGAGCGTCCCTAACTGCGCCTCTCTAGCTGTGCGTCTCTGGCTGAGCGTCCCTAACTGCGCCTCTCTAGCTGTGCGTCTCTGGCTGAGCGTCCCTAACTGCGCCTCTCTAGCTGTGCGTCTCTGGCTGAGCGTCCCTAACTGCGCCTCTCTAGCTGTGCGTCTCTGGCTGAGCGTCCCTAACTGCGCCTCTCTAGCTGTGCGTCTCTGGCTGAGCGTCCCTAACTGCGCCTCTCTAGCTGTGCGTCTCTGGCTGAGCGTCCCTAACTGCGCCTCTCTAGCTGTGCGTCTCTGGCTGAGCGTCCCTAACTGCGCCTCTCTAGCTGTGCGTCTCTGGCTGAGCGTCCCTAACTGCGCCTCTCTAGCTGTGCGTCTCTGGCTGAGCGTCCCTAACTGCGCCTCTCTAGCTGTGCGTCTCTGGCTGAGCGTCCCTAACTGCGCCTCTCTAGCTGTGCGTCTCTGGCTGAGCGTCCCTAACTGCGCCTCTCTAGCTGTGCGTCTCTGGCTGAGCGTCCCTAACTGCGCCTCTCTAGCTGTGCGTCTCTGGCTGAGCGTCCCTAACTGCGCCTCTCTAGCTGTGCGTCTCTGGCTGAGCGTCCCTAACTGCGCCTCTCTAGCTGTGCGTCTCTGGCTGAGCGTCCCTAACTGCGCCTCTCTAGCTGTGCGTCTCTGGCTGAGCGTCCCTAACTGCGCCTCTCTAGCTGTGCGTCTCTGGCTGAGCGTCCCTAACTGCGCCTCTCTAGCTGTGCGTCTCTGGCTGAGCGTCCCTAACTGCGCCTCTCTAGCTGTGCGTCTCTGGCTGAGCGTCCCTAACTGCGCCTCTCTAGCTGTGCGTCTCTGGCTGAGCGTCCCTAACTGCGCCTCTCTAGCTGTGCGTCTCTGGCTGAGCGTCCCTAACTGCGCCTCTCTAGCTGTGCGTCTCTGGCTGAGCGTCCCTAACTGCGCCTCTCTAGCTGTGCGTCTCTGGCTGAGCGTCCCTAACTGCGCCTCTCTAGCTGTGCGTCTCTGGCTGAGTGTCCCTAGCTGCGCCTCTCTGTCTCTGGCTGCGCCTCCCTAGCTGCGCGTCTCTAGCTGTGCGTCCCTAACTGCGCCTCTCTAGCTGTGCGTCTCTGGCTGAGTGTCCCTAACTGCGCCTCTCTAGCTGTGCGTCTCTAGCTGTGCGTCCCTAAGTGCGCCTCTCTAGCTGTGCGTCTCTGGCTGAGCGTCCCTAACTGCGCCTCTCTAGCTGTGCGTCTCTGGCTGAGCGTCCCTAGCTGCGCCTCTCTAGCTGTGCGTCTCTGGCTGAGCGTCCCTAGCTGCGCCTCTCTAGCTGTGCGTCTCTGGCTGAGCGTCCCTAGCTGCGCCTCTCTAGCTGTGCGTCTCTGGCTGAGCGTCCCTAGCTGCGCCTCTCTAGCTGTGCGTCTCTGGCTGAGCGTCCCTAGCTGCGCCTCTCTAGCTGTGCGTCTCTGGCTGAGCGTCCCTAGCTGCGCCTCTCTAGCTGTGCGTCTCTGGCTGAGCGTCCCTAGCTGCGCCTCTCTAGCTGTGCGTCTCTGGCTGAGCGTCCCTAGCTGCGCCTCTCTAGCTGTGCGTCTCTGGCTGAGCGTCCCTAGCTGCGCCTCTCTAGCTGTGCGTCTCTGGCTGAGCGTCCCTAGCTGCGCCTCTCTAGCTGTGCGTCTCTGGCTGAGCGTCCCTAGCTGCGCCTCTCTAGCTGTGCGTCTCTGGCTGAGCGTCCCTAGCTGCGCCTCTCTAGCTGTGCGTCTCTGGCTGAGCGTCCCTAGCTGCGCCTCTCTAGCTGTGCGTCTCTGGCTGAGCGTCCCTAGCTGCGCCTCTCTAGCTGTGCGTCTCTGGCTGAGCGTCCCTAGCTGCGCCTCTCTAGCTGTGCGTCTCTGGCTGAGCGTCCCTAGCTGCGCCTCTCTAGCTGTGCGTCTCTGGCTGAGCGTCCCTAGCTGCGCCTCTCTAGCTGTGCGTCTCTGGCTGAGCGTCCCTAGCTGCGCCTCTCTAGCTGTGCGTCTCTGGCTGAGCGTCCCTAGCTGCGCCTCTCTAGCTGTGCGTCTCTGGCTGAGCGTCCCTAGCTGCGCCTCTCTAGCTGTGCGTCTCTGGCTGAGCGTCCCTAGCTGCGCCTCTCTAGCTGTGCGTCTCTGGCTGAGCGTCCCTAGCTGCGCCTCTCTAGCTGTGCGTCTCTGGCTGAGCGTCCCTAGCTGCGCCTCTCTAGCTGTGCGTCTCTGGCTGAGCGTCCCTAGCTGCGCCTCTCTAGCTGTGCGTCTCTGGCTGAGCGTCCCTAGCTGCGCCTCTCTAGCTGTGCGTCTCTGGCTGAGCGTCCCTAGCTGCGCCTCTCTAGCTGTGCGTCTCTGGCTGAGCGTCCCTAGCTGCGCCTCTCTAGCTGTGCGTCTCTGGCTGAGCGTCCCTAGCTGCGCCTCTCTAGCTGTGCGTCTCTGGCTGAGCGTCCCTAGCTGCGCCTCTCTAGCTGTGCGTCTCTGGCTGAGCGTCCCTAGCTGCGCCTCTCTAGCTGTGCGTCTCTGGCTGAGCGTCCCTAGCTGCGCCTCTCTAGCTGTGCGTCTCTGGCTGAGCGTCCCTAACTGCGCCTCTCTAGCTGTGCTACATCTCTCTAAGTGTCTCTGTATCAAAATATAAGCAGGTAAAACATTGCCTTTTACGGCTTGTTCACACCGAAAGCGTGTGCGTTCCAGAGCGGTTGGGGGGGGGGAGTGGAAGCGGTGCTATTGAATTCAATGCACCACCACGCCCCCTCCCGCCCCAGAACGCCGAGGGAAGTTTCTCAGCGATCGAGGTGCGTTCCAGCACCTGCCTCTCTGGAACGCACACGCTTTCGGTGTGAACAAGGCCTTAGGCCGAGGTTTAAATGGATATAAACTAATCTAGAAAAGCCGAGACACAAGCAGTATATTTTCTTTGTTATGATGTTCTGGAAGGTTAGAGTCACTCACACTTTCTCCCTCTCCTTGAAGATCATAAACACATACACGGAAGCTGTTCAGACCGTACAGCCAGCAAAGGCCACTGGGAAGCCGCACACGCTCTGGGTTGCGTTTGCTAAATTTTATGAAGACAACGGACAGATCGACGATGTGAGTAGTGTGAGCTGCTTATTGAGGCCTTTTGTATTTTCCACTTTATAAAAAGGAAGTAAATCCTCTCCCATTCCATAGAGGGATCCCCAGCTCTATTTTAAAAGGGAAATATCAAGGGGCTTTTTGACCCCTAATATTTCCCCGAAGCCCCCCAAGAGTTAAAAAAATGTAAAAAAATTACGACAATAAAAAAAAATAATGAAAATAAAGTAAAAAAGAAATTAAAAAAACGTTTTTTCTATATAGATCTTTATTATCACTAGAGGGATCTCCAGCAGGAGGAAGGAGGTCCTGATTCCTCTATATAGATCTTTATTATCACTAGAGGGATCCCCAGCAGGAGGAAGGAGGTCCCGATTCCTCTATATAGATCTTTATTATCACTAGAGGGATCCCCAGCAGGAGGAAGGAGGTCCTGATTCCTCTATATAGATCTTTATTATCACTAGAGGGATCCCCAGCAGGAGGAAGGAGGTCCTGATTCCTCTATATAGATCTTTATTATCACTAGAGGGGTCCCCAGCAGGAGGAAGGAGGTCCTGATTCTATTATATAGAACATTTAGTTGGACCTCATGTAGAATACTGTGTCCAGTTCTGGAGATCTCACTTACAAATAGATATTGATAAGATAGAATGAGTCTAGAGAAGGGCAACAACAAAGGTGAAAGGTTGAAGGGATAAAACGCATCAGGAGAGAATGTGGGAACTTAATATTTACATTCTTCAGGAAAGTGGGTACATGGCTGAAACCATTAAATACATTGAGGGTGTTATTTTGTGGTGTCTTCAATATGAAGCCAAGATGTAGAAGACGGGGATATGGCCTCACACTAGCAGGAGGAAACCTTAGAAAGTATTATTTTACCATAAGAGTAGCAGACTTGCAGAAGTAGTTGAGACAGTCCGACAGACAGTAGGCGAACTTAAAGTGACATTAAACCCTCAGATTTTGTAACATAAACCAATACTGTAATGTGCGCCTTACTGTAATCCATGGTTGTTTCCCTTCTCTTTGCTGCTCTTCCTTTTAAATCCTCATGTCTTCTCATGCTTGGGGAGAACTTCCCTTTGCAGCTGAGTGCCTCTTCCTGTAGTGCTGGCTCAGGTTGCAAACGTACACACAGACACCGTGTATCCATTCCAGAGACAAGGCAGTCTGCTGCATAACAGAACTTCTGCCCAGCATGAGAACAGATACAGATTTAAAAGGAAGAGCAGCAAAGAGAAGGGAAACAACCATGGATTACAGTAAGGCGCACATTACAGTATTGGTTTATGTTAAATCTGAGGGTTTAATGTCACTTTAAACATGCTTGGCACAAAAAGAAGGGTGATGGCAGATAAAAAGTGGTCCATCCAGTGTCTTCTCTATCCAAAGCTGGTCGGGCTGTAAGGTCACCTGACAAGTATGGAAATGATATGTCACCGTTCTGCATTCTAGGCCCGGGCCATCCTCCAGAGAGCCACCCAGGTACAGTACACGCATGTGGATGACTTGGCCTCCGTCTGGTGCCAGTTTGGTGAGATGGAGCTGAGACACGAGAACTATGAGCAGGCTTTGAGGATCCTCAGGGTGAGTGTATACAGAATGAGATCAATGGAGAGAGTTCTGTCCGGTTTATTGGGTCCTGACTGACGGTCTGACCTCTGTCCCTGTAGAAAGCCACTGCCGTGCCGGCTCGCAAGGCTGAATACTTTGACTCAACGGAGCCCGTGCAGAACAGACTGTACAAGTCATTGAAGGTGTGGTCCATGCTGGCCGATCTGGAGGAAAGTTTAGGCACTTTTAAGGTAAGCCGTCCTGGTTATGAAGTTATCCTTCTTCCCTCTGTTCTATACCTGTAGTAAGGGGATTGGAAGGTTGTAGAGGGATGCCGTCATGGGCTCCCAACACTACAAGCTGCTATCTATAAGGGAGCTTTTACATGGATTCGTGGTGGGAGTGTAGCCTGCTGTCACATGATTCTATGCTTGCAACCTCCCTCTCATGCTCCTGATGTGAATACATTTGCAGAGAGCATAGCGAGAAGTGGGTACACGGAAGAAGGGAACCTATTGGCCTGTGTTGCTGTAGGCGTAGATTTTGGGACAGCCAGTTGATTTGGCAATGATACGAATTTGACGATAGAATGATGTACCACGCCGTTGCTGACCTACTTCTTAAAATGCTGGTTTCCCGGCTGCGTCTGGTATTCATACTTGAAATCGTTACATGGAATAAACATGCAGACTGTGTCATCAGACCTCCGCAATGATCCAGTAAGTACGGAAGCCATTGGATCAGAGTGACGGGCAGATAGCATTTTCAGTAAAAGAGGACGGCAATGGCATCCTATATATTTCATAAAAGACAGGTTCTCTTGAAGAGGTTTCATCGGTGCTTGCTGAAGATTAGAAGTACTCTGCCTCTGGACTGGGTGATGTACGGAGGGGAGGGGGTCACATGATCGGGAAGCCCAACTCCTGGTTTTAGGAACCCTTTAACCCCTTGTAAAATATATAAGGTTGGGGGGTTTTAAGTAATTTTCAGGCCTAAAATGTGGAATATAACATGGGTACAAAAAATGAAAAAAAGGCCTCAGTCATGAAGGGGTTAAAGGCTTCCTAAAATGATACGATGAAACATCAGGTGTCCGCAGAAGCTCCAAAGGCTTCTTGCAGCTGTGGGGGGAAGGGAACGCCTGGTTGTGATGTATACAGGGCATGTCACACGCTGCCACTGACCTCCATCCTATAGGACAATAAGGTGCACAGGGATAAGAACAAAGTCACATGACCACTGTATATAAACATAACAAGGGCTGATTATAATACTGTGATCTCTGCTCGGCTATTACGTTATTTTAATGCTCAGAGTCACAAAGCTGTTCTCTCGGCTTTACATTTACCTCAAATACTGTTACTCTGATGTTACTACTTCTCATTGTTACTCTGATGTTACTACTTCTCATTGTTACTCTGATGTTACTACTTCTCATTGTTACTCTGATGTTACTACTTCTCATTGTTACTCTGATGTTACTACTTCTCATTGTTACTCTGATGTTACTACTTCTCATTGTTACTCTGATGTTACTTCTCATTGTTACTTCTGATGTTACTTCTCATTGTTACTTCTGATGTTACTTCTCATTGTTACTTCTGATGTTACTTCTCATTGTTACTTCTGATGTTACTACTTCTCATTGTTACTCTGATGTTACTACTTCTCATTGTTACTCTGATGTTACTACTTCACATTGTTACTCTGATGTTACTTCTCATTGTTACTCTGATGTTACTTCTCATTGTTACTCTGATGTTACTTCTCATTGTTACTCTGATGTTACTTCTCATTGTTTCTTCTGATGTTACTCTGATGTTACGTCTCATTGTTACTTCTGATGTTACTACTTCTCATTGTTACTCTGATGTTACTTCTCATTGTTACTTCTGATGTTACTCTGATGTTACTACTTCTCATTGTTACTCTGATGTTACTACTTCTCATTGTTTCTTCTGATGTTACTCTGAGTAGTAACATTACTACTAGGGTTGCACAGATACCAAGTACAGTACTCGGTACAAGTACGAGTACAGGTACCGATACTTTTGAGCTCCAAGACTACACTAGAGAAAAATTCAAAGGTTAGGAGGCCGCTGTCATGTGTAAGGAGCACACGGAGCTCCCGGGATTTGTACATCTCTGTTTTAATGTATGATTTTGTTTTTATAAATATAAATATAAAGTGATGCACAGGTACCAGTTTTGCGAGTACGAGTACTGGTACTTGCCGAGTACTTACAAGTATGAGTACTGATACATTTTTGTTTATTGTCATGTGACAGTTTTTCTAAAACAATACAGACTAATGATTTCAGGACAGTGGTGGAGCGCCAGAGCCAGGTCCCAGCTGCAACCGCTGCCACCCTGGTAGTTATCATGAAAATGCCAAGTATCGGCACTGGTACTCAAAAAGTATCTGTGCATCCCTAGTTACTACTTCTCATCATTTTTAATGTCATGGCGAGCTTTTTACTTCATATATCTAATATGGAATCTCTGCCTTTAGTCCACCAAGGCCGTGTACGATCGCATCATTGATCTCCGTATCGCCACCCCGCAGATTATAATCAATTACGCTTTGTTCTTGGAGGAACACAACTACTTTGAGGAAAGTTTTAAGGTGGGTGACGGTGCTGGGACATTCTGGGGAGAGGACAAATCCGGCTCTTTATATCTCCATAACACGGTCATTTATCTTCTTCTTTGTCCTCAGGCCTACGAGCGCGGCATCGCCCTCTTCCGCTGGCCGAACGTCTACGATATCTGGAGTACTTATCTGTCCAAATTCATTGCTCGATACGGAGGAAAGAAGCTGGAGAGAGCTCGCGATCTGTTTGAACAATCTCTGGATGGCTGTCATGTACAGTGACAGGTCCTCTTTATGGAGACATCAGGGGTCTGTTAGACCCCTAATGTCACCTAGGGACCCCTGGGAAGCCGAGATCTGCTTCTCCAGCTACAGCAGCCAGAGAAATGACAGGCTGAGAGCAGAAGTTACCCCTCCTTTACCCCTCACTTGCACCTCCCTCCTCACTTGCACCTCCCTTCCGCATTCAGAGATCGGAGGGGAGATCTGCCGGTGGAATATGCTGACCTCCCCCTCTGATCTAGTGAATGGGTTAAATAGCGACCAGGTGCTAGAGCCTCATGGGGCCCATTCTGTAACAACATTCTAGAAAAATATCTCTCTCTCCTGTAGTCTTCTCACAGCGGCCATGTTTACTAAGGGCAGGTTACTAGCTCTCCCTTTACTTCCTGGAACTCTGGCACATGTGACTAGGACATGTGACCATGCACATCATCCAAGGGGAGGAAAATGCCTTTCTCTGAGATCTGGTGAGATTACAGATGAGATTTCCCAGCAATGCTCTGCTGATGTCACCTTCCCAGGATGCAACGCTTGGGCACGATGACATCACTAATGCCCCGGGTGATGTTTAGTGAATGGGGGGACAGGTCGGCTTTACTGATAGGAAATGATGAGGACATTAATGGAGGAGAAGGCTTTGCTGCTGTGTCCATAGTTCTGTCACCTTTATTTGGCAGAGGAGTGATGTCATAGATATGACCTGCGTGCGGATGATGTAGGTATTTGTAATTGTCGTATTTGACGTTGTGTGACTCCTCCCTCAGCTGTTGTCGGACGAGCAGTCCCGGGAGATGTGTCTGCGGTTTGCCGATATGGAGAGTAAGCTCGGGGAGATCGATCGAGCCCGCGCTGTGTATTCATACTGCTCTCAGATGTGTGACCCCAGGGTGAGTGCTCTGATGGACTGGACCAGGGAAGCCATGTTTTGTGGCCCCTGTATGGTTTCTGGTAGTGATGATTCCATCTCATGTCACATGTGCCCCTATGTACTTCTTATTCATCCCCGCAGCTGACGGCCGGCTTCTGGCAGACTTGGAGAGACTTTGAGGTGCGGCACGGCAATGAGGACACGATTCGGGAGATGCTGCGTGTTAAACGGAGCGTGCAAGCCAAATACAACACGCAGGGCACGTTCCTTGTGTCCCAGAGACTGAGGGCAGAAGCAATAGGAGCTGGCCAGGAATCGAAAGGTAAGGTCTTAAAGGAACTGCACCTGCCCGATCAGTTGGTTTGTCCTCGTCATCTTATCCGGTGTTCTATCGAAAGCTCCAACTCGTCGAAATCTCCAACTACCTCACGGCCGGGTACTTGCAAGTTGGAGATTTGGACCAGACGGCGTTAGACTGCAAGACACAAAGGCAGACGGAGCCTCTGTACAGCTGCACTTTAACAATATTCGGCAGGCGGCAAACTCGACGAGTATTCTGAAAACGCCGTGCGCGCATGCGCACCGCAACTGTACAGAGCTCCAGTCTTTGTGAGGACCGGAAATGAGGTAGTTGGAGATTTCGATGAGTTGGAGCTTTGGATAGACCACCGGCATGGGATTATCCTATGGCAAAGTCTACTGTACCCCTCATGAGGTGTGTAACCCGCTCCCACCAGCCCTCTAAGGGGTTCTTTATGCCAGGTTCCTGCTGCCATGTTTATGATCAGGCACCTGGTATTGCTTTGTAACCTGAGGCATGCTGGGAGTAGGAGGGATTATACTGGGCCGGCCTACTGGTTTTTTTTCTGTTTTGTCTCTGCCTCCTGTAGGCGGCAGTATAACCCAACAGTATCTGAATTCCTGTATCCCTCAACGTATGAGAAGAAATTCACTGTTTACATAATTTTGTACTCTTTGGCTCCAATGAAAAGGATGACGACATCGTGTGAGATACCGTCGTCCCTTTCATTGGAGCCAAAGAGTACACAATGACTATTTTTGCATTTTTCTTTCATTCCCTCAAATATGTTTCTGTGTGGGAATGAGGAACCATGCCGGAGCCTTTGTCTGCAGCTGCAACCACACAGTGATTGTATTTTTGGATAGAGGAGGGAAATGTTGGACCCTCTGCCTTGTATTTATTGCTGGCTGTGTCCTCCTTGGGAAGATTTCCTCTCAGTTGCTGTGTGGTCACTGGACCTGAGCAGAATCTTTCTAATGGGGACCCAGGCCGAGGTAAGCCAGGTTAGAACTCATGTCAGGTGGTGGTTCCCCCCTGACCTCTTTTGTGGATACCAGGCCAGGAAGTGCTAGGAGATCTCCTCAGTGGAGGCACGGCCATAATAATGTGATGGAGTGAGGATGAGTCAGAACCTCGGCCAAAAAAAAATGACTGACGGGCGTTCTCCATTAATAAAGCCGGACGGACTTCCTGTATAACTTTGCTTGTTCCCCCAGAACCGGTGGATGAGATGCAGGCTCTGGAGCAGAAGGCAGCGGTGGTGGCAGCCCAGGCTGAAAGGGATAAACCACAGATGAAGGAGAAGATCCTGTTTGTTAGGTTTGTAGCTGCCGGAGATTCCTCGAACCTCCTCCATGTGTTCCGCCAGCCAGAGAACCGACATCTCATTGTGTTCTGTGCAGGTCCGATGCTTCCAAGGCAGAATTAGAAGAGATGACACTGCAGGCCAATCCGGACGAGATTAATATTGGGGAGGAAGACGAGTCCGAAGAGGAGCTGGAGCCGGATGGTGAGTCCTTGGCATCTCCTACACATCATGTGATCTTACTTTTTATTCTCTTTGCCTCTCTCCCCCAAAATCTCCAGAACCGGACACAGTATTCTACATGAGATCTAACTAAAGATCTATATAGAGGGATCAGGACCTCCTTCCTCCTGCTGGAGATCCCTCTAGTGATAATAAAGATCTATATAGAGGGATCAGGACCTCCTTCCTCCTGCTGGGGATCCCTCTAGTGATAATAAAGATCTATATAGAGGGATCAGGACATCCTTCCTCCTGCTGGAGATCCCTCTAGTGATAATAAAGATCTATATAGAGGAATCAGGACCTCCTTCCTCCTACTGGGGATCCCTCTAGTGATGACTAAAGATCTATATAGAGGGATCAGGACCTCCTTCCTCCTGCAGGAGATCCCTCTAGTGATAATAAAGATCTATAGAGAGGAGTCAGGACTTCCTTCCTCCTGCTGGGGATCCCTCTAGTGATAATAAAGATCTATATAGAGGAATCAGGTCCTCCTTCCTCCTGCAGGAGATCCCTCTAGTGATTGCTAAAGATCTATATAGAGGAATCAGGTCCTCCTTCCTCCTGCAGGAGATCCCTCTAGTGATTGCTAAAGATCTATATAGAGGAATCAGGTCCTCCTTCCTCCTGCAGGAGATCCCTCTAGTGATTGCTAAAGATCTATATAGAGGAATCAGGTCCTCCTTCCTCCTGCAGGAGATCCCTCTAGTGATTGCTAAAGATCTATATAGAGGAATCAGGTCCTCCTTCCTCCTGCAGGAGATCCCTCTAGTGATTGCTAAAGATCTATATAGAGGAATCAGGTCCTCCTTCCTCCTGCAGGAGATCCCTCTAGTGATTGCTAAAGATCTATATAGAGGAATCAGGTCCTCCTTCCTCCTGCAGGAGATCCCTCTAGTGATTGCTAAAGATCTATATAGAGGAATCAGGTCCTCCTTCCTCCTGCAGGAGATCCCTCTAGTGATTGCTAAAGATCTATATAGAGGAATCAGGTCCTCCTTCCTCCTGCAGGAGATCCCTCTAGTGATTGCTAAAGATCTATATAGAGGAATCAGGTCCTCCTTCCTCCTGCAGGAGATCCCTCTAGTGATTGCTAAAGATCTATATAGAGGAATCAGGTCCTCCTTCCTCCTGCAGGAGATCCCTCTAGTGATTGCTAAAGATCTATATAGAGGAATCAGGTCCTCCTTCCTCCTGCAGGAGATCCCTCTAGTGATTGCTAAAGATCTATATAGAGGAATCAGGTCCTCCTTCCTCCTGCAGGAGATCCCTCTAGTGATTGCTAAAGATCTATATAGAGGGATCGGGACCTCCTTCCTCCTGCTGGAGATCGCTCTAGCAATGTACCCCAGCATTTTGTTGTTGTGGGCTGTCAGTGCATTGCTTTCCCCCCCCCAATGTAGATCAGCACTACACATAGATAGCTGACATTTTGCATTGGTACACTAACATTCAGGTGTGTTGGGTGCCATTTAAATGAATTGGCAGTGCAGTGCCCCGTGTCTCACAGCTTGGAATCCGCCCTTTATGGATTAGATTAATGGATCTGCTTAAACAGGAGAATAATCCGCCTCCTTCGTCTCCACTCTGCGCTATATGTTGTCTTGTTTTATGTTTTTAGACTTTGTTCTCACTTTTTGCATGACAATGAATTTTTTGTGGTATCGGTTTACATTCATGTTTTGCATTTTCAGTGTATTTAATTGTAAATTAGAGCCAATAGAAATCCGCCTGTGATGCATTTAAATGTATAAACACCATGTAATGGGTCCGTTGTACACCTGTAAAGTGTATAGAGGTAGATCAGTCCCTATAGACCCACTTTATGATGTGTGGGGTGTGTTTATATCCCCAATAGGGTCACACAGGGTGATATCCCATCCTTGTAGACTAGAGTGGATCCGATTTACTAAAGGAGCTAATCATCTTCACTCAATAAATTTTGGTTGATTTACTAAAGACAAATAACACTTTGCAGGGCAATTCTCCCTTAGCTCGGTGAATGTGGTGAATATCCACTTTGCTAAGAATACCCAATCATGCGCAAGTAAAAAAAAAAGTTTTTGCTGGCGCAGGATTGGGTGATGGAAGTCAGCAGAGTTTCACCTCATTCAATAAACGAAGGGGTAACTTGCACAGTGAGCAGCCTATTTGCCTTCGTGTGCCCAGTTCACGCCAACGCATTGACTTGATGTGCCCTTGGGGGAATATGTGGGCACGCTGCAGCACAAGACGGTTACATTGAGGTACAATAGGCAAGCACGCACGTTATACTTATTTAATCCGCACATGTGATTGGCTTACTGAATTGAACATTCTCTCAATCTGACTGAAGACTCTCAGCTTAGTTAGTAAATCCGCCTCAATGCATGTTGCCATCCAGGATGATGATTTATAAAGTGAATGCCTGTGCGGCTTGTTCCCTCGCATCACTTGCACATATGGATGGAGCTCCGTCACAGCACAGCAGCCCACACTGGACCCCAGGCTGCAGATCCACTCCAGTTCTGGTAAGGGAGGGAGACTGGGTGGACCTACTGTGTGTTCTGGTGTGGGAGGTGTGTTGCGTTGCTATTCATTTGAATGGCACCCCAAACGCACCTCCCTCCCACAGTCCTATCGCCTACACCTGGATGCACGGTACCGCAAGGCCGTGCATTACATAGCGACTTTGGGTCACGACTTATTGACAGAGGACAAATGTGGGTCCTGAGGTTACACAGGTTGAGAAGCGCTGTATTACACTGATGGATGGGGTCAGTAGCTGGTTTGTTCCTGGTATTATCACAGTGATGGGTCACAAGGTGGAGATGTGTACATAGTCCTCTGTGATTGGAATTCATTAATCAAATCCTTTTTTTTCTTCTTCACAGAAGTACAATTGGAGCAGAAATCGGTCCCTGCTTCGGTCTTCTCTGGGCTTGCCGACGATTAACTCTCCACCCCCAACCCCCAAGCTCCTCCCTTTCACAACAAAACTAATAGTAATAAAAGAAAAACGCATTTTTTTTTTCTTCATTCTCATGGATTCTTTTTATATACAAATAATTGCAAAATCATTTAATATAGATATTTATAATAAATCTTTATGTATAAATACAACATGTGGTGGAGCAGCTCGTCATCAGCTATGGAGTCCAGACTCGCTGAGACGGCGCCACCTACAATTCACCCAAGTTATGATCTGTAGCATATTTATAAATAGTGGATGATGCATCGTTTGTGTTCTGTGGGGGAAGGGCGTGACCTTGCTCCTCAGGGGCAGGGCTAAGCACAGAGATGGTCTGCGCTATATACACCCACCACATCCTCGGTTTGTTTTTTTTCCTCTTCTTCCGTCTCCTCCCACCCCCCAGGGGCCCAAAATGCAAAGCTGCTATAGCCCCTTAATTGTATCAAACTCAAGTATATATAAAAAAAGAAAAGTGCTCTTCTTGGATCTCCCGGTCCAATCAGAGGTACACCAATTTCTGCTGTGTTTTATCATTGTGGTAAAAACTGATCCAACATTATGTGACCCGCCAACCAGTGGAATACCACATGTGCTTCAACATACTGGTGCGGGTGTAAGGGGGGGATCTATGGGTACCGCCAGCTGCTGCTGTGTACTTTGTGCTAAGGATGTAGTAGTAGAAGACACTCGTGTGAATGATGGAAGGTAGACAACATACCGCTGTCCAGGATTGTGGATCTATAGCAACCCAGCCTGGTCCCCCTTGGATCACCGGACCACCTAGCCAAGGCCATAAAGAGTCACAAAGCAAGATGTATACGTGGTAGAAGTCTCGGATGGCTGTTGATTTGCTGACTCCATACTGGTTTCATGTGGTCACTGGTGGTGAAAGGAATAGGGTCCCCCCCAACCGCACCCCTCCCCCACAACTCGTATACAGCAGAGGTTTCTCACGCGGGTATTTGGCTTCAGGACATGGTAACCATATCAAATCTTTCCATGTGCAGTTGTGAAGCCGGGCTAAGTTGTGTGACATTGTACAAGTGATTTGCTCTTTGCCAATTGGCTTCTCAAACTTCCACCAGAACACATTGAAGTCATAATTTCCTCAGCACTAGAAAACTGAACTGCCGGTCTGACCCATTCTCCATTAAATCACACCTTTCTATCATATGTCCATCAGCTCCAACCCTACATGAGGCCCGATTTGTTGCTGTTCCCATTGTAGAGTTGTAACCGCCCCCTTGGCTGTGACCACACCCATCAATGTTTTATGCACTCCCCCTCCCTCTGCATAAGTAGTGACGGCGCACACGCCTGCTGCCAATCACGTCATTAGGTATTCATCTCCTATGTAGCAGTGTGGTCAGCCAACAATGGGGGGGAGGGGAGCACACTGTCACCTATGCTACCATGATGAAAACACGCACTGTGTCCCCTGGAAGGAAAAACAGATGTCCGTGGTGAAACTTCTCCAAGTCTGAAGACAATTTAATTGGCGATTGCATAGAAATAGTTTGTCGCATTTTTCAGGAGGGTGAAAAATCGATCCTACAACAAAGCTTTCCGGTAGGGATGCACTGATACCGGTATTGGGGCAAGTACTCGGCCAAATGCTCCAATGCCTTGCACTTGTGACGAGAGAGCATGGAGCCGGCTTCCCGGCCCATCAGGGAGCCGGGCAGCGTGTAATGATGCGGCACACGGCTTCTAGATTGCATGCTCCCCAGTCAGACTTTGGAACCAGTGCTAGTTCTCTGACCTTATCTGGGATGTCTCTTCTCAGAGAAGGCTTCTGACCACTGCTAGGTCTATGACCTCATGACGAGGGAGCCGGCTTCCCAGCCAATCAGGAAGCCAGGCGTCGTGTCATTTCACAACACCCGGCTTCCTGATTGGCCAGAAAGTTGGCTCCATGCTTCTTGTCACATAGTGATGGCTTCCCCACTAATCGGGAAGCTGTGTGGCTAATCAGGTGGCCAGTCTTTACATGCCTCCTGAATGGGACTTGTGGTACTCGGTATCGGTGCATCCCTACTTTCCGGCATGAAAGCCGACATGCATGATACTGTATGTGTGGCTGGAGCGGAGTATGCACCTCTCCTTTCACCATCTGAGCTTCAGGATGTCTCTGCATACAGCCCACAAGGGTTCTGTAACATACTGGAGACGGACCAGCAATGACTTCTTACCAACCGCATTGGAACCAGCAGCAGCAGCCAGTGTTCATGTATGAGCTCCATTCAGACAAGCTGAACACAACTCATATTTCCCTCCCTACAAATGGCGACAAGCGTTGCACATTACGCAGCCTTGAGGGACTGTTACTCGGTTTTTAATCCAGTCGTGTTCTGCAATAAATAACACTTCTGTCTCCCGACTGCCATACAAACGACAAAGTTATTTCAACAATATACAGTGACCCAGCTCCTATTCACCAAGTTAGGGGCACCTAGGCTACTGAGGCTCCAGGCCCTGAAACGTGGATTTTATCCAACAAAAAAAAATAAAAATATGTATGCGACAATTGAAGAGACCAGACGCACCCGGCTGTACTATAAAACGCATCCTACACTGCGCACTCCAAAAAACATGGAGCAAATACTTGTGCTTGGTGACTACTGTAAAGCATGAGCTAAGCGAGCGCAATTACAGGACATCAGGGCAATTCATTAAACAAACACAAAGCCAGACGTGCAGAACGAGTGAGGAGAGGTGACGGCGGCAGAGGCATTATGTACGCGCAGGGAGGCAGTGTATGGGGTGGCGGCAGAGGCATTATGTACGCGCAGGGAGGCAGTTTATGGGGGGGCGGCAGAGGCATTATGTACGCGCAGGGAGGCAGTTTATGGGGGGGCGGCAGAGGCATTATGTACGCGCAGGGAGGCAGTTTATGGGGGGGCGGCAGAGGCATTATGTACGCGCAGGGAGGCAGTTTATGGGGGGGCGGCAGAGGCATTATGTACGCGCAGGGAGGCAGTTTATGGGGGGGCGGCAGAGGCATTATGTACGCGCAGGGAGGCAGTTTATGGGGGGGCGGCAGAGGCATTATGTACGCGCAGGGAGGCAGTTTATGGGGGGGCGGCAGAGGCATTATGTACGCGCAGGGAGGCAGTTTATGGGGGGGCGGCAGAGGCATTATGTACGCGCAGGGAGGCAGTTTATGGGGGGGCGGCAGAGGCATTATGTACGCGCAGGGAGGCAGTTTATGGGGGGGCGGCAGAGGCATTATGTACGCGCAGGGAGGCAGTTTATGGGGGGGCGGCAGAGGCATTATGTACGCGCAGGGAGGCAGTTTATGGGGGGGCGGCAGAGGCATTATGTACGCGCAGGGAGGCAGTTTATGGGGGGGCGGCAGAGGCATTATGTACGCGCAGGGAGGCAGTTTATGGGGGGGCGGCAGAGGCATTATGTACGCGCAGGGAGGCAGTTTATGGGGGGGCGGCAGAGGCATTATGTACGCGCAGGGAGGCAGTTTATGGGGGGGCGGCAGAGGCATTATGTACGCGCAGGGAGGCAGTTTATGGGGGGGCGGCAGAGGCATTATGTACGCGCAGGGAGGCAGTTTATGGGGGGGCGGCAGAGGCATTATGTACGCGCAGGGAGGCAGTTTATGGGGGGGCGGCAGAGGCATTATGTACGCGCAGGGAGGCAGTTTATGGGGGGGCGGCAGAGGCATTATGTACGCGCAAGGAGGCAGTTTATGGGGTGGCAGCAGAGGAATTATGTACGCGCAGGGAGGCAGTTTATGGGGTGGCGGCAGAGGCATTATGTACGCGCAAGGAGGCAGTTTATGGGGTGGCAGCAGAGGCATTATGTACGCGCAGGGAGGCAGTGTATGGGGTGCCAGAAGATCAATGCTAGGTCTCTGACCTTATCTGGGATGTCTCTTCTCTGAGAAGGCTTCTGACCACTGCTAGGTCTCTGACCTCAACAGGGTTATGTCTTAGAGAAGGCTTCTGACCAGTGCTAGGTCTCTGACCTCAGCCGGGATATCTCCATTCATCTGTAACATAGCCCCAACAGATCGAGCTTAGGTTTTAAGTTGATATTGAGCCAAATAGACATTCTATACTTCCCTATAAATAATACAGTTTTGGTACTGGTGTCAGCCTCCCCTATATAGAGAATAACGTAGTATTACCGCCAGCTCGGTCGCAGAAACCTTAAACTAGGATTTGTGATAAGGGGAAGCTGCTGTTCTATGTGCAGATTAAGTAACTCAGACTGTGGCTCCCCATTTCCTCTACACTGGCAAGTGCTATATATTCTTTGTGGGACCAATCGCTTCATTTTATTAAAATGTATCACTTAAAGCAGAACTCCAGGAAAATACAAAGACACAAATTCTAACTTCCCTGCCTGTGAAAATAATTACATTTCCTATTTCAGCTTCAGTACTTTCTCCGTCACTGTCTACTCATTGGGAAATAAGTTATGGCCTGTTGATACATTTTCAATGGCCATTGAGCAGGACGTTACCTCAGAAAACTACAACGCTGACAAAGTGGTACCAGGCAGTCCGTGCAGAGTAGCAGTTATGTGAATCACTAAACTAGCTGCGTTTTTGGCTTCCTGTTCAGGGGGGTATAGATTCAGGGGAAGAGCACCTCCTTCCTTGACTAGTAGTCCAACCTCTTCAGTATAGAGCTTATAGCCAAACACTTTCACCATTGCAAAGGCAATCCCCTTTAAACACAAGAATCTAGAGCGATGACCTCTGCAACGGAAACATTAAAGAGAAGAGCCTTCGGATGGAAAGCCCGGGCTGACATATCCACCGTGTCCTACAATACAAAGCATAAAAGGCACCAATAGAGCATGGAAGGTGGCACCGTGTTAGTGGGAGGCAGCCGCATTGCATTAATGGGCAGTGGGTAGGAGCTTGGCACATTCCAGTGGGGCAGTGGAGAAGAGAAAAAAAAAAAAAAGTAAGCACCTGAAAGCTAAACAAAATGTAGAAAAAAAAGGCAATTTTCACTGAACAGGTTAAAAATAAAAAGCTAGTTCAGAAAGTTGCATACAATTGTCTGAAGAGCCAATCCGCCTCCAGACAGTGGAATAGCCATCAGTTCTGCCTACATTACAGAAAGGTCCCCAACTTGACATCTCACCCAAGCTTACAGAAAGGTCCCCAACTTGACGTCTCACCCAAGCTTACAGAAAGGTCCCCAACTTGACATCTCACCCAAGCTTACAGAAAGGTCCCCAACTTGACATCTCACCCAAGCTTACAGAAAGGTCCCCAACTTGACGTCTCACCCAAGCTTACAGAAAGGTCCCCAACTTGATGTCCCAACCAAGCTTACAGAAAGGTCCCCAACTTGATGTCCCAACCAAGCTTACAGAAAGGTCCCCAACTTGATGTCCCAACCAAGCTTACAGAAAGGTCCCAACATGACGTCCCAACCAAGCTTACAGAAAGGTCCCAAAATGATGTCCCAACCAAGCTTACAGAAAAGGTCCCAACTGGACGTTCCCACCAAGCTTACAGAAAAGTTTCAACTTGACGTTGCTGCTAAACTTAGAAGTACAACAATCTCAGCCAGGTCACGGTAGAAGCAAGGGTGCTCCTAGAACAGAGGACCTTGACCTAGCTCAAAAACAGGCAGAAACAGAACATAAGATCCCAACACTGGATACAATTAACCATCTGCCTAGTAGCATGCTGGAGGCTGCAGGGGGGCATTCATTTGGGGGTACTGGCTTTTTTCGGTGTAGTGGGTCGCTTGGTCTGCCACAGATGGCCCTGTATGGTGAAGGCGTCAACACTCATGGACATGGTTTTGCTAGGGATCTGGGTGAAGCGTTTTCTGTCAGAACTGTATTTGTAGATTTCTTCCACCATAGACAAGGTGATCGCGCGGGGGCCATAGCCTGCCAGACGGGTCAGTTCATCCGTCTCGGGCGAAAAGGAGTAGACCGCTCGGAACTGGCAACTGTTGTCACGGAACAGGATGAGGAAATGGTTGGATTGGCTCTTCTCCATGTCCTAAAGGTGAATTAAAGAGATTATATAGCGTTAGTGTCTCTATGGAAAAGATCTTCAACTCAATATGTTGGTGTACTTGGAATCTATGAGCAATGATGATTTGGCTGTTGGGCTGCATATCATGTCAGCAGGAGGCGTGCACAGACCCATTGACCAACTGAATAAGTGAGAAGGTTTGGCAGACAACGTGGTCAGCCCGAAATAGAAGTGCTGTTACTGACAGTATCTCAACAACTCCACACCACTCCTCTGCTCAACAAAATATCAAATTGTATTAAAGTTTTTATTTCCAGGAAAAAAAAAAAAAAAAAGGACATATTGTAGTTTCTAGCTGATCCTTTTCTTCACTGCTCATCCGAGTCTCCTGCAAAGTATCTTAAAGGTGACACTATATTGATACTATATAGTAGGATGTCCCGATACCGGGCATTTTCACAAATACTTGCACTCTTGAAAATGCCCCGATTCTGAAGGCCGATACCGGCCCTTTAAGTTTTTGAACAGCAGCGGCTGTCCGAGTTCCTGCTCTTGTGGGGACCTCGGCAGCCTGCTGGGGACCTTCGAGTAGCTGTCCATGGCAGTGTCTGTCCGGTTCTATAGCTCCGGCGCAGGCACAGCCATGGACAGCCCCACACCGCCCATCAGGACTACCCAACCAACACCAGTCACCAACTGGTCCCTCTCCTAGGCAGTCCAGCTCCCAAATCCAGGGCCGGAGAGGAGAAGAGCAGGGCAGCATGGCCGTGTCCCTAAGAGAGCAGAGCAGTGCGGCTCTTCTCAGTGCTGAGAGAGGAGCAGCATGGCCGTGTCAGTGAGGAGACAGTGTGGTCTTGTGGGGAGAGATGCCGAGTGGATGGACAGACACCTCTGCACCAAGCCATGTTACAAGGTAATGATCCTGATAGTGTGTTCAGCCCTCTGTTACATGTCCTCCCTCCATATTACACCCACAGCAGCCTGGACTCCCCGTCTGCCCTGTGTTATTGTATCTGCACCACACTAATCACTACCACCCCTCTCCCTGCCATCCCACCACCAAACACCCTCTCCCTGCCACCCCGGGACATCTGTATTGTGCTCTGGTGAGAAACTGCCCTAATATCATCAGTCTGTGTTGTTTTAGCAAAAATGTGACATGTCCCTTTAAGAAAAAGTATTGGTAATTGTTATCGGCAAGTAACTGAGGGAAAGTACTTCTATTTGGTCCTAAAAAAGTGGTATCGGGACATCCCTACTATATAGGCACCTACTTTCTGTGGAGACTAGCATTCCTCTCTGGAAACCAAAGCCTCATAGGCCTTCTGCCTATGTGCAGGGTGAGCGAGTCACCTTCCCACCCTTATAGTTCTGGACAAGCAGCATGGACGTTACCATGTCAGTGCAGCCTGAAGTAGGAGGATTACTCCATATGCTGGAAGAACTTACTCACTTGTCTTGGTTCCTGTTGCCCAGAGGCTCAGGACAATGACAGGAGTTTGTGAGGCGTCCATGGAGCAGTTTACCTGCACTGCTGGGCCTCTCTCCACCCCACAGGGCCAAGCGCCAATCCACAACCTATCTCCAGGAAGACAGATCTTGGGAATTGTTGCGGAGCCCTGCAGATCCCTCCTACTGGCTGCTATAGGGAGCCCTGTGATGAAACCACAATGATAAACTTCATCACCATGCTCTATCAGTTCCAGCCAATGGGAGGGATCTGCAGGGCACCCGACATTTGCTCCGCAACAATTCCCAACATCTGTCTTCCTGGAGGTGGGTTGTGGGTTGTCTTTTGTGAGTCAGCGATGGTCCTGTGACTATCTCCACTCTACAGCCAGGTAACAATGGTCACATCATAAACGCTGGGATTCCATTTCAAGTTCCCAACTCTCAAGTTGTCCACCTACAATATAGAGCAAGGGTAGGCAAACTCTAGCTGTGGTGGAACTACAAATCCCATGAGGCATTGCAGGACTCTGGCCGCCACATACATGACTGCCACAGGCAGATGCATGATGGAATTTGTAGTTTAACCACAGCGGAGGGCTGGCGTTTGCTTACCGCTGATCTAGATCAACAAAACAATACATTGTCACACAAACCGACATCTGTTTAAATATAGAAAGACTTAAGATGGAGAGATCCAAGAGGAAGGCCACACTGCAGCTAGGAGCACAGGGATCCTTGTTAGCATTGACTTTTACAGAGAACATGGAAAGTTTTAAAGCTCGACACAAACACAACAAATTCGGAGCCAAAATTGCTGTAAATGCAAAATAAAAATAAACCATTGTATTCCCCCTCCCAGTCCAAGACGTGTGAGAGATACCAACCTCGAAGACTTTGTTCTTCTGAGTTTCGTTGACTTTGCCTGCCAGGCAGCAGTGAGATAACGCATTGTGTATGATGAATTTGTTGGATTTTGCACTCGGTTCCTTGTACAGCCTGGGCCCTGAAAACGGAAACGGACATTAGTAGGACGTGGAAAACTAAAGAAGAGGCATCTCTAATATATATATATATATATATACATACACACACACTATATTACCAAAAATATTGGGACGCCGTCCTTTACACGCACATAAACTTTAATGGCATCCCCGTCGTAGTCCGTAGGGTTCAATATTGAGTTGGCTCCGCCCCCACACCATAATCCCCCTCCACCAAACCTTACACTTGGCACAATGCAGTCAGGCAAGTACCGTTCTCCTGGCAACCGCCAAACCCAGGCACGCCCATCGGATTGCCAGACAGAGAAGCGTGATTGGTCACTCCAGAGACCACGCCTCCACTTCTCTAGAGTCCAGTGGCGGCGTGCTTTACACCACGGCATCCCACGCTTTGCATTGCATTTTTGAGGGGCATCCCAATACTTTTGGCAATATAGCGTGTATATATATATATATATATATATATATATAGATAGATATACACACACACACACACACACACACACACACACAAATCCTGAAATATGCAGTTTTGTCACAAAGGACCTCGGCACCGGTCACACAGAAGTAATAACAGCGTCACAAAACTGATGGCAGCTTACAACCATTTCTTTTGCTCCTTGTAAACAGAAGGGAAGCGATTGCTCCAGCCGGTAAACTCTCCCACATCGCCCATTATTAAAACTACAGACCCGTGTACCATACTTCATTATTCACCTAGACACCCAAAACTCCGAGGGGTACATTTATTCATTCTTCTGCACGGCAAGGCAATGTTAGAGAGGAGCAGCATTGAACAGGAGATTTTGGAAGAAGTCACTCGCACTTCAAGATGATTTCTTTGCCAATGCTTTGTTAACAAAGTGTCACATTGTATGGCGACGTTTTGGAACCGCATAGGTCCCTTCTTCAGGTCAAACAAAGCGTACTTCACAGTGTTCTACACTTTGCCTGAAGAAGGGACCTATGCGGTTCCAAAACGTCGCCATACAATGTGACACTTTGTTAACAAAGCATTGGCAAAGAAATCTTCTTGGATTGCGAGTGACTTCTTCCTAAGTATCTATTGATTCGCAGAGGCATCTGGAGTCACTTCAGCACCCACCCAATACTTTGGGTTACATCCGGTCAGCAGTGCGATGGGACATATCAAGGTTATGAGATTTATTACAAGGTTACAGCCTGAGTCATAAATTCCTCTTCTAATGTAGCACTATGACAGAATAAAACCTGACCCTGACCAGCTTTCAACTGTGCGCCAGTTTACACCAGGGGTAGCCAGCCTCAGCACCCCAGCTGTTATGGAACTACAGTTCCCATGAGGCTTTGCAGGACTGACAGCCCCAGGCATGACTCCCAGATTCAAATGCATGATGGGATTTGCAGTTTCAGTGCAGCTGGAGTGCCAAGGTTGATTACCCCTGGTTTAGAGTGAAAATCTGTTTCACC